AGGGGTCTTAAGACCAAAAAACTTGAGAACTGCTCTTCAAATGGAATGAATGCTTATTGTAATTAATCAGTATATGGTATAGTTATTCTGATATTTATATATATGTTCCAACTCCCGCTTAGAATATTTTTTGACTACCTAATAGATATTAGCCAATCCTAATAAGTTTTTTATTTTTTTAAACTTTTTTTTTTTTTTTTTAAGTAGGCTCCACGCCCAGCATGGGGCCCAACACAGGGCTTGAACTCACGACCCTGAGATCAAGACCTGAGCTGAGATCAAGAGTTGGATGCTTAACCAACTGAGCCACCCAGGCGCGCCTTGAACTGTTTCTGAATCCTGTTTTATAACCTGAATCAAATTGAATGATCCTATAATGTCAGTATTGCAAGAACTGTACACTGCTTTGTCCTGTGTGATGCTCTTTGACTATTCCAAATGCTAACCTAAAATAAGTTGAACTGATTCTTTATTTCTTTGGTTCACTTGTGTACATGGGCTTTAACTGAATGTCTAATCCAATAGAAATGTCTTTTGGAAGTATAGGATTAAATAATAGGATATTTTTCCCCATTTCACAAGTAGAAATCAAACATCAGAAAAATATAACTTGAGGGGCACCTTGGTGGCTCAGTTGTTAAGCATCTACCTTCGGCTCAGGTCATGACCCCAGGGTCCTGGGATCGAGCCCTGTGTCGGGCTCCCTGCTCAGTGGGAAGCCTGCTTCTCCCTCTCCCACCCCCCCTGCTTGTATTCCTGCTCTCACTCTCTCTCTCTCTGTCAAATAAATAAAAAATCTTAAAAAATATATATATATATAAAACTTGAATTCACTATTTGAAACTAATACAATGAGCTTGTGATCTTTGGATTAGGATTCCCTAATCAGATCTGGTTGTTAATGAAGAGGTAATATTTCCAGCCACAAAGTTTTGCTAAAATTTACAAGAGAAATAGTCATATCAGAAATAGTTAATCCAGCCTGATTTAAATACCTGACACAAGAAGGCACATTTTTCATCTTTCCAAAAAGAGCAACTTCAAAGAGAGGTCACACACATAGCTTCCATTCAGTAATGAAGGGCTTAGCTATGGCAACCGTTGTACTTTGCCATTGTGCATTTGTCTTGAACAAGTTTTAACAATATTAAAAAACATGGATCACTTATTTAAAATTAGTCACTTAGGGAAAACCATTAAGTGAGACTCCTACTCATATGAGTGAGGCCCTGAGAAGGTAAGGGAGCTTGATGGGTATCTGGGGGAAGAGTGTCCCAGGCAAAGGGAACAGCAAATGTGAAAGCCCATAGGACCTTTGTCTAGAGTATAGTTGGCATAGTTCCTAAGTGTTCTGTTTTGCAAATACTGAGATCATGGTAAAAGAAATCAGAAAAATACAGAAAAGGTAGGGGATGGGGATTAGAGTACACTTACCATGATGAAAAAAAGAAAATGATTTAAAAAAGAAAATACAGGAAAGGGGTTGGAATCACCCATAATCCTTGCACCTGGAGATAACCGCTGCTACTGTCTTGGTCTCTAACCTTTTCAACTTTGTTAAGCTTCTTTTAAAATGTCACCTAGCATCTGTGTTAGTTTCCTAGGGCTGCTGTAACAGTACCACACACACACAGGAATTTATTTGCTTACAGCTCTGGAGGCTAGAAGTCCAAGCTCAAGGTGTCAACAGGTTTATTTCTTCTGAAGCCTCTCTCCTTGGCTTGCAGAGGACTGCCCTCCCCCTGTGTCCTTACACAGTCTTTCTCCATGCACTCGTGCATCCCTGTTGTTTCTTTGTGTGTCTAAATTTCCTCTTCTAAGGACA